CCAATGCCCATGTCATTACACACCAATGTTTCTTCTGACTTGGCCAGACTATAGAGAGTACACAATTCAGTAAAACGTTCTCTTTCCCCAAGTGGGAGCTGGGCTTGGGGCATGAGAAGCTACCAAAAATCAGAAAGACTGTAAATGTTAAGGTGTCAATGTGAGATCTTAAATATTGTTCCTGTTTTCATGGGAGATAACAGGGGAGCCACAAACGAAATAGTTATTCTCTCTTAACCTGGAAGTCAGTCCTGGGAACCCTTAAGTGTGAAGCCTTCTAGAAGCCTTTTGTATTTGCTGACCACGGAGCAGGCGTTGTGCCAGGCAATTTCATGGATGTTCTCGCCTGCTCCTCCTGGTACCGAGTTGGTGCAGGCATTTGCGCCCAGCCTGAAGGCAGGCCACGGGGACCCTGGGCTGGGCTGGACTTCAGATGCTCGGGTGGCCATTCTGCCTTCTTTTAGAGAAGGCTGCTTCTTTCCGATACAAGGAGAAATCGCAACTCAGTGAAGGAAACCAAGAATGGGCTAAACGAGTGGAACTGGAGTTACAAACAACAGCTGCCAGGAATCCTGAACACGGAGAGGAAAAATGAAGCCGAGAGGAAATGGAGCTCCCGTGGTTCCTCTGGCAGGAGCAGGAGGAATGGCCGCATGGAGGAGGGGCTGGCTTTGCACACAGGCCCCCACGCAGCAAAAGACCTCATTCTTTCAAGAGCTCAGAAGGGGGCAACAGGCAACAGCAGAGGCTGGAAAGTGTGAGCAACATTAGAGGAATCCTAGCTCTGACACAGGCCAGAAAGGGCGTAGAGCACAGAACATCTGGAGCTTGGGCTTCAGGCCGGGCCCAGGGGCCTGCGCTGTACATGCTGTGTGTGCTGGGCGGGGCCAACTGCAAAGCTGAGGCGGAGGGTCTGGGCCCCAGTGCCTTTGGTTCACAAATCCTTTCCTTCTCCCCTTGAAAAAGGTGAATGATGACGAGCTTCACTGAGTAACGGGATGGGAGACCTGGCTGGAGGAGGCTGCATCTCATGCTGTCACTCGGAGACCACAAGGTGCTGGGATCAGGGGAGAGTCAACCGCCCCAGACCCTGGACCAGCAGGCCTGGCTGGTTGGCGGGGTCTCTCTCGGAATTTAGAAGTTCCTGCCGTAGAGCTCGGGAGATCCGAGAAGGCTCAGTAAACCTGGCGGCTGCTCTTCAGGTTTGGCAAACTCGAGATTTTTCCAGTGCCTTGAGTTCAGCTGAACTGAAAATGTGTTTGGCTAGAAACCCTCCTCTAATTTTTAAACCCCTGTGCATTTTTTTTATTTTTTATTTTTGGTAAATTTGATCCACATGCTTTTGATTTATTTTTATTTAACTCATCACATCAGATTAGGAGCTACAATGATGAAGGGAACAATGCTGATTTCCAAGGTTTTTTAGCCTCTTTTCTTAGATCTAAATCACCTCTCCCCCCACCCCACCATGTCAGCGTGGTTTGTAATTTAGAATCCAAATGTGAAAGAGATCCATGCTTGGCAAAGACGAAGCTCAGCGCAGGAATACTCTTAGGAAATCACGGTCAGGAAGCCGGGGCAGGGAGGGGCTGGGGGAAGAAGACAGGGAGAGCCTGTTCTTCACTAGATGGTTTAAATCAGTTCACTTGGCTTCCTGGGCTGCCAACAGAGGCCCCCGCTGTTTCTTAGAGCCCGACTTTAATGCTGCCACTCAGGGAAAGAGGTTCCTGTCCCAAGAAGGGGGGGGGGGGTCCCCTGTACTCATCTCCTTTTCTCTACGCTCCTCCATAGTAGCCAATCCCAGGGGCCCCTCCTCTTCCCTTTAATCTCCCTCCGCCTTTCCTGGCCCTGCCGAAGGCCGCTCCATCTGGAAGCATTTAAAATGTACAACAATTTTAATCTCGTGCAAGGGAATATTGGGAGCTATACAACCTACCCATTAGGCTAAATTAAGGGTCCACAATCTCATTTTGCACAATTCTGTCTGGCCTCGGTTGGCACACACTGAACATCATTACTGCCTTTCCCAATTACTTTTTTTTTCTTTCTTTCTACATTATCATCTCATCATCGCCTATAACTTAAGTCTGAGGCCGGCAGTATTTCTCCGAAAAGCTGGACACTGAGGTCCCAAGACCAAGGTCTCTCGTCAGAGCCCCTCGAACCAGCACCCAGTGGGTCCCTTGACCACTATCCAAAGAAATATCTTGGAGCCCGGCGTCTCTCCCCTGAGCGCACTGATTGGATTGGACAGGCCTTGGTGTAAGCACTATCTCGCTGCTTAATAACTGTACGCCATTGGGGGATTTATTTCACTTCCCTGGGTCTCAATTTCCCATTCTATGAAATGGGTATAATAATCGCATGTAGTTCACAGAGCTGTGAGGATTAAATGAGATACTGCATCCACATGAAAATAAAGTATGTTGTCTGGTCCAGACTAAGTAGTTAACAAATATGAGCTGTTACTATTATTATAAAAACTCAACACTTTATTCCACTCTATGCTTCTCTAAGGCCACGCACATTTTTCCAGGATTGCCAGTTTCCTTTTGAAGCTTCTCCGTTCCTCACCAATGTGGGACCGACCAACCCACTTCCCTGCAAACGGGCATCACTGAAGACAGATGAGCTGGGGCTTCTGATCAGCCAGCTGGGAAGTTCCATCAGTCCTCAGGGAGTTTCCCACACAGGCCCACGTTTTAAAGCTACAGTCTCCTCTTGGGATGCACAGCAGCAGAATGACTGAAATAGCTATAATTTCACTGCATTAGAGTTCATTCTCCTTCAAACCAAACCAAGCCTCTTGTCCTCACTTTAAATAGAAAGCACACGTGTGTGTCCGAGTCGGGGGTGAGAAGGTTTTCACTTTGCTTAAAAAAGCAAAATGGTGTTTCTGGAGACGCTCCCCGCCACGGAACACGAGTCACACTGCCTCTGTCCCTTTTGGGAAGCAGAAAGGTGACGGCACCATGTACTATGTCTGATAAACGCCTCTCCCAAGAGGGAAGACACAGAAATGCCTGAGTTTCGTATTTATTCTTTTTCTCTGGCCATGAATCTATGGGTCTTGATATGGACCAGAACTGAGGGGCCCGGACGCTTTGATGTCGCAGTGGTCCTCATCATGCAGAATTGCTAGGATGGTTAAAAGAGACCTTTGCAAGCTCTTGACGAGTGGTGATTATCACTTCTACCCAGCTAACCTTACCTGACATCCTAGATGATCTCAGGAAATCTGTGTCTTCCATGCCTGATACTTACTAGGGACCTGCCTCTCGGTGGCCTTCTCTGCCTGTGGGTGAGTGGTGAGTGCATTTTGGATGCCACCTCAGCAAGAGAAGAAACTACCCCTGTTCACAGCCCTGCCAAAAGGGCAGGACTAGGCGACGGTGCCCACCAGCGGCTCTGGAGTGGACACACTGTCTGAAGGACAAGCTACAGCCGGGAAAGTCACTGCGGCCAATGGGATTCCCCTCTGGTGATCTGGACTGGGAGAGGGAGAGACTGGGTTGACCAGCAGCAGAGACACATAGAACCTGGCTGGTCCCATTAACGGCAGCCCCCTCCCGAAGGGGACAGCCTCTCTCGCTGAGGCTCCTCAGGACGCCCTGGGCCCAGGACCACCTCCCCACACGCCTGGCTGCTCACGCGTTCTTGTACACCACAAACACCTCTTCCAACAGCTTCAGAATAAGCATGTCCCTTTTTCTGAGTTAGCTGGAGTGGGTTTCTGTTTCCTCCAACAGAAAGAGCCTTCACTCACACAGCTCCGGTCCTAGGGGAGAACATGCCGTTGGAGCCCTGGCTGAACATTCTGGGAACTTCAGCACCAGGCATCGCTTCAACAATCAGTCACACGAGAGGCAACCCAGACCGACTCGTCCCTGGCTCCCTTCTACCGCGGACATTGGGAAAGTTAAAGCTCTCTCCCTCTGGCCTTCCTGTAGTGAGGGGGGGTCATGTGAGATAGTCTGGCCAAAGATTTGCAATTGAGTGTCTGTCGGGACAGATAGTAGTGTCCCTCCCTCCCTCCTGTGTTGTGTGAAAATGTAATGCTTGGAGCTGCTGCCACCATCTTGCAACCGCAAAGTGAAAGTCAGACAAGAGATATCCCAGCCCTGGCACATTGGTGATGCTATGCCACCGGCAGCCCCCAGAGAACAGGCTCCTTGTTATGTGAGAAAAATATATCTCTAAACTACCATTACGTTTTTCTATAACTTAGAAGCAAAATCTTTTTGAAATTACATACTCTGAAATAGAACCTGATATTATTTCTGTATTATATGAAAAATGATTCTTTTAACCAAAATTTATGACTTGTTTTTCAAACAGCTTCTCCATATATCAACTGAATGATCCCAGCTCTCCAGGTAATTAATGCTGATTGAGGAGGGTGGGCGGGGAGGGTCACAAAAGTCTCCACAGGAGGAGCATTTTTGTTAAATTCTAGAGAAAAAAAGCATTTGGGTGTATGGAGATGGGTAGGAAAGGCATTCTAGGTAGAAGGAATAGGTTAAGTACATATGGGAAACTGAAAGCCATGAGTAGGAAATAGTAAATTCCTTCAGGCTGCAGTAAGGAAACAAATCAGATTAAAAAGTTAGACCAATTTATAACAAGCCTTGAATGCCAAAAAAAAAAAAAAAGGAGGAGCCTGGGCTTTATTCTCCAGGTCATGTGCTGTTTAAAGCTTCTACGCAAACAAGGTCACAGTAGCTGTTTGGCAAAATCTACTTAACAGCCACACGTGGGATGGACTGAGGAGGCAGGAGGCCGCTAGGAGGCTAGGCAGCCACCAGGACAGAGGCCACGCGGGGGTGAGACAGGACCGTCCATGCGAGAATGGGGTGGGAAGGAGAAACAGACAGGAGAGCGAGGGCAGAGGTAAATGCCAGACAAGCCGACGGCAGCGGATATGGGGTGGGAGTCACAGGAGGAGCAACGTAAGAAAATACGTCATTGTACGAAACAGAAACGAAAAGCTCAAGCAGTACCTCTGGAGCCGACGACAGGAACGGCTTTATGTAGATGTTGGAGTCATGCACCTTCAGGTCATGGTCCCCCAGCCCCCGGGTCACTCCGATGGTCGCCATCACTCGGGCCTGCGAGGAGAGCAGAGGGTCCTGAGAAACTCCCAGGTACGAGACGCGCAGCCGCCACGGGCCCAGAGAGAAGCGATGCTCCCCCCGTTCCTCTCGCCTCTCGCTGCCAACCAAGGTGGGCAGCTGTTTCCAAGGAGGGGCTCGCTCACCAAGATCACTATGTCCTTGGCGAGTGGCTTTTCCACCAGTTATCCTAAGCTTGATGGGTGGCTGTTGTCTGTTTCCTGCTTTCTTTTGTAGAGACCGGAGGGAAGGGGGTCCAATAAACCAAACCCAATACCTGTGTGATGTCTACAGCTACTAATTTCAGTTCCAACCAAACCCAGCAGCATCCATCCATCTGTCTGTCCATCTGTCTGGCATACACCCACTCCACAAGTACTTGCAGAACACCAGCTATATCTCTGGCACCGTGATACAGGCACTGAAAACCGTGCGACCCCCAGAGCGGCCGTGCTGCGGGGATGCGGGCAGCTGGGCGACGGACACTGAACTTTTTCTTGACGGGGAAAACCTTGCTCCTTTAAGTTTTTATTTTATTTTATTTTATTTAATATATTTTATTGATTTTCCACAGAGAGGAAGGAAGACAGATAGAGAGCCAGAAACGTTGATGAGAGAGAATCATCGATCAGCTGCCTCTTGCACACCCCTTACCAGGGATGTGCCCGTAACCAAGGCACATGCCCTTGATCGGAATCAAACCTGAGACCCTTCAGTCCGCAGGCCGACGCTCTATCCACTGAGCCAAACCGGTTTTGGCTCCTTTAAGTCTTACTGTTGATAATCTTCAAAGAACAAACCTGTCCACTTCCGTTACGTGGAGGACAGGATAGTGAACATCACCGAGTGTCTGACTTAATCCTCGTGCGGTTGTTGAAGGCCTGCCCGGTGTCGGTGCCAGGCTGGACAGGGACTGGGGTACGGCCCTCGGAGGATGTGGCCCTGAGCCCCCCGGTCTCCCCGGCGCCGCAGGAGACAGAGAATCGCAGCCCCCCGAGAGCGCCGGGCGCCGCGGGGCCCCGGGCTGAGTGATCGGCTAGTGGTGCCCAGGGTGCTGAGAGGCTCCGGTGCTTCTCTCGGGAAGAGCCCTTCCTTGTCACGCTCCTCAACTATGGACGTGAGGTGGGTGTCCCGTCTCCAGGAAAGGGGCAAGTTCGTTTGAAAAGTGGTCGCTACATGGATTGGATAGTCACGTTTCCCTTCTCTCCATCAAAGGCCTTCCCATGAAATCACCGCCGGGCTCCACGGAGCTCTCAAATCTAACTCATCCTTTCTCATAGATGCCCACACACACACACACACACACACACACACACACACACACGCTCTCAAGTTCTGCTCAGGAAGGCATCCTCCAGTTTTCTTATGAGTCAGTTCCTCCTGCTAAAAACTGTCCAATGCTGGGAAAACGCCCGCTGAGCACTCTTCTGAAGGCGGCCACATTCTTCCCTTCTCCCTGGAGCCCTCGGCACCTGGCCGGATGCCTCTGCTTGCAGGAAGAACGCAGTGACTCAGAAGGTGTTCGTTCTGATGGGGAACGGGCTCCAGAGCCGCCTCATCTCCGCTCCAGGACAGCAGCTGCCCCCAGGCTCTGCGCACAGACCCCTTGAGACCGCAGCTTCCTCCGCGTCAGCAGTGCCTGCTGCTCAGCGTGCAGTGCCCACGGGGCCTGGTGCCGGCGAGGAATGCTGTGCTGTCCCGGCACGTGTTTGGGTCCCTGTGGTCCCACAGCTTCGTCACAGTAAGGCTCTGGGGCCTGTTGTCAGATGTACAATGCACTGATGTATGTGCAAGTGGTCATGTCGCACGCGGTAAGGGGACTGCTATTTTCACAAAACCGACTCTCTCCCCCTCCCCAGAGCTTACCGCACCCCTCCCGAGCCTGCCACTCCTGGGACCTCAGGGCAGGAGGCCGGAAGGACACGGGAGGTAACTCCCTCCGCTGTCAGGGCCGTAGGACCAGGCCGCCCCTGTCAGGGCTGTAGGACCAGGCCGCCCCCCACTCTGCAGACACGGCCTCATTCTCCGTCTGGGGGAGGCGAATGCCTACCTTCTTGCCTTCTCCGTATATGAGGGGAAACTTCAAGTCATCATCCTCAATGGTTTTGTACGCCCTGTAGGGGGACAAACAACATCCTTTAACAGGTTTGCACTCAGTCAGTGACCCGCTCCCCCGACACGGGCTGCTCGGTGCTTCCTTCTCCCCGAGACTCCATCCGCTCAGCACACTGCCGGTCTCCTCCTTAAAAAGAGCTGGTCTCCCCACAGAAGTGTGTGTGTGTGTGTGTGTGTGTGTGTGTGTGTGCATATTTTAATGAACCAGAAAATAAGGTTTTGTATGCTAGAAGAGGGAAAGAGTCAGTTGGCCCATTCATAATGAGCACGGAGGGGAGGGGCTCCTGTCCTGAGCGCTCGGGTGCCCGTGGGATAATGAAGTGCTAGCACCAGTGACAGGGCCTGTCATTAACCTGAAAAGGTGAGAAAGGGCGGAGCTCTGACGTGGAGGGAGAGTGAAGGTGTGCCCAGGGCCAGATCTCACCCTGGGGTGGTTTACACCAAAGCAGCCCGGTGTGGGGATGGCTGGGGAGGAATACTTAGAGCCTGCTTGACCTCAGTGTGATATTCAAGGTTGGCAGAAAATTCTGTTTCACAATAGCTATTAAATGGCCATTCGACACACAAAAACCCGGTTTATGCCTCAGTGGTTTCAGACATGCTTGTCCAGATGCCACGCACACACGGCACAGGCCAGGGCTGGGGAGCAGATGAAGCCCGTGTCTTGCAATTTTGCTCACAAGGAATTTTAAACACAAGCCAACAGACATGGCGCCCGATTACCACCTGCATCCTGAGCAGGTCGCTTCCCCTGTGCTGGTCTCGGTTTCCTCACCTAGGAAAGGAGGATAATCACGCAGGATCTGAACAGCAAAGGACAGAGCCTGGCACTTAGCTAGAACCCAATTAGTGAGCTATTACTAATATTTAGGACATAATTAATACTTGGCACACCAGTTTCCCCCTCTTCAAAATGGGGATGACACTGCCTGCTCACCACCTTAAAGAAATATTGGGAAGACAAAGCAGAGGTTGGGGTAGGTTCTGCTAGGTTAGGTTCTAGAAGCAGGATGCTTTTCTAAAATAACGGCTCCTGCCCTCGCCAGTTTGGCTCAGTGGATACAGAGTGAGTTCGGTTCCGGTCAAGGGCACATGCCTGGGTTTCGGGCTCCGTCTCCCATGGGGAGTGTGTAGGAGGCAGCCGACCAATGATTCTCTCTCATCATTGATGTTTCTATGTCTCCCTCTCCCTTCCTTTCTGAAATAAATAAAAATACATTTAAAAATAAAATAGAGTAACGTCTCCTGAGGGCATGAAAAGAACTAAATTTCAAAATGGCCTCCCAGTCCTGATATATCCAGGCAAGTTGGGAGTGAATCTCTCGATATACAAGAGAATGCAACCCAATTTAAAGAATGCAACCCCAAAGCTGACGCAGGTGCATCCTTATTTCCCAGGAAGCTGCTTAGTGAACTTGCTCCTCCCCAGGGGGTGGGGTGGGCTCGGGCTCAGCACTGCCCTCTGTGCAGCCTGGGCAGCTAGAGGAGCCTCTCTGGACCTCAGCATCCTCATGATCACAGGGCGAAAACGGGCCTGTGAGGATCCCAATGGGCCAGGGAATGCGATGCGCTTTGGGTGCATTCAGCACAGTGCCTGGCACAGTTGAGACCTGGCACAGCTGAGACCTGGCACAGGCTGGGGCTGTTGTCAGGTGAGCCCAGAGTGCTCTAGAGTTGGACTGTCAAAATCGGAACCCCCCGCCCCTAAAACTATCCAATTTCCCCAAAGGGGAGATAGCTCCTTAGATGTCTTTATACCGACATGAACTATTTAAAACACTGTAGTATATAAGTCATTGGGGAACAAGCCGCTATTATTAGGACACAGGCTCAGCTTGGGGTCGAATGGGCCTGTAGATCAGTGCTCACAGCCGTGGCTGCATGTTCAGTCACCTGCAAGGGCTTTTAAAGCAACCCTTTGGCCAGGTACCACCGCAGAGCAATGAATCTGAACCTCCGGGGATGGGAACCAGGCACCGGGACCTTCTCTAGGCTTCCCGGAATTGTCACCCACAGGATCAAGACAATTGTAAGTTCTAATATCGTATGTTAGCTTCTGTTTCTTCATCTTCAGGAACAAAACAATCCCACTAAAGACAGAAGAGAACCCTGGATAAGGAAGGGTCATTATGTTTCTGCCATTGTTGGTTTTCAATCAAATGTGAGCCCGCCCCCACAGGTGACCAAGGTGAATAACTAGGTAAAAAGAGAAAGTACAATACCCTCCCCCTCAACCTTCGGGGGCCTAAGTACAGTTCATCATGAAGGTAGCTGGACTTCCCTCCCTACTTAAGGTCTTGAATAATAAAGAATAAAAGGCCTGAGAGTTAAAACTGGTAACTTGATTGAAGAGTCTGTATAAATTAATACAGTTAACAATGAGTTACTGAACACCTCTCCACGCCAAGCACTGAGCTTGGTGCTTGCTTACAGTGCCTAAAACCGCCAAAGACTGACTTGTTTCACTTAGCATGATATTCTCCAGGTCCTCCATGCTGCCTCAAAGGGTAAGAGATCCCCCCCCCCACAGCTGTAAGTATTCCACAGTATAAATATACCACAGCTTTTTTATCCACCCATCTACTGATGGGCACTTGGGCTGTTTCCAGATCTTTGCTATTTAAAATTGTGCTGTTAGGAACATAGGGTGCATACATTCTTTCTGATCAGTGCCTCAGGTTTCTTAGGATATATTCCTAGAAGTGGGATCCCTGGGTCAAATGGCAGATCCACATTTAAATTTTTGAAGAAACTCAGTGTAAGAGAAAAACAAGTATCACTTGATCGCACTCATATGGAATCTAAGTAACCAAATAAACTGATGAAGGGAGTGGACCCAGAGGCATGGAAGCATGGAACAGAGTACAGAACCTCAGAGGGAAGGCGGGAAAGAGTGGGTAGTGGGAGGTAATCAACTGAATGCATAACCCATGGAAACAGATAATGAGGTGCTGAATGCCTGGGGCAGGGTAGGGTGGACAGGGGCAGGCTGGAGGGGGTCAATGGGGGGGGGGGAGGGAGAAGGGACATATGTAATACTTTCAACAATAATTATTTTTTAAAAATGAAACTACTCCAAGACCTTACACACAAGAGTACTGAGGCTCAGAGATGTTGAGTTCCTCTCCCCAGATCACACACATGTTAGTGACCCTCGGGCTAAATTAGACTTTCCCAGAAAACACACCAAAGAGATGTGATGTCAGGGCTGCGCTCTGGGGATTTCTTATTCCAGCTGGAGAGACTCAAGGAGCCCATTGTTATCCACTGGTCGGTGCGGGAACAGCCGGCACTGGATGGAGGGGGACTTTGGGCAAAAGAGGGAGGAGAATTTTCTGTGTGAGGTAAAAGGGCCAAAGGTGACCACGTGTGGACAAAATTAGCAGCTGCTGCACCAGACAGTCTCCAGGGGAAAACAGAAAAGGCGGGGTGTGGTCAGAGTCCAGGGGAGCCTCTCCCACAGACAGCGGGCTCCTCAGGTCAGTTCTCACAGCTTACGGGCCACCCCACTCTCTGCCCACCCGAAGGCCTGCCTGCTGTTCGTACTTCACTCCGGTCCATGTCTGGGCCGTGTGCCTGAGTCCACGCGTCCAGCTCGGCCGTGGCTCCCGTCCTTCTCAACTGGGGAAGGCGAGAGGATCAGGACAGAGGCTTGAAGCCTGAGAGCTCCAGGACACCAAGGCTCTCATGACCGGAGATTAATGAAAAATGACTCTTCTTTCACATCAGATCATCCTACGATTTCTGAAATCCTGATTAAATTTTTAAAAATAACTCCCAAAACGGATTACTCACTAGTTTTACAATAGTATAACCAGGCAGAGATCATATTCAAATAATTACTTGAAGCATAGCTGAAAGGCTTAGAAAGACTTTTTAGAATAACTCTTATTTTGGGTCAACTCCTCTATGAATATTTATGAGGCCAACTGACAAAAAGATGAGATGAGGGGAAAAAAAAAAATTCAAGGCTTAAAAAGGGCCCAATTCAAGGGCTTTCTCTAACACAGGGCAGTGTCCTCAGAAGATTGCCCTAAACATTGTTTTTTAAGCCATCCTTTCCCTGGCCATGTGGATTCTGCAAAGCTGAAAAGACAAGGCACCAGTTGTGTTGGACCCACCAAAAGGCAAAGCACTGGGAAACAGAAAGACCACCAAGTACCCCAGATGCAGGAATCCTCCCTCCAGCACAGCTCCTATCGGTCCCTGGCCTCTGCCATCACGTGGGATGTTACAGTCACTGTCCTAGGATCTTAATAACACCCAAAGCCCACTCCACTGAAGGACGTCCCCAGTCAGTTCTTCAATTGACCCAAACAGCCAGTCATTGATATGTGTGATCTCTCTTCTGGAGAAACATGAAATAATTCCAGTCTCTCTTCTCCTTGAGAGTTCTGCAAGTATTTGATGAGAGCTATCTCCACGTTTCCTCCTTCCCAGTTCTTTCAGCGGTTCTTCCCAGGATCCAGGGCCCCATCTCTAACCACCCATGTCCCTGTCCATTCAAATATTCATTAACTAAGCACCAAACACTGTGGTCGGGGCCATCGGGGGCGTCCGAACTGGTCTGCGTCCTCAGAGAAGGGCACTCAGATCTGAAAACACTTAAGCTGTGGTTCACATCAGAAAGCAAGGGCTGCTGCTTTGAGATTGACTTGTTCCTCTTTAAATAGCTGCAGCTTATATTTGCATCATGTGCACGTGTCGGTACATGTGTGGTTTGGGGTCATATATTGAAATGATGAGTAAAAAAAAAATTAGCACAAAAAACGCCGACCAAATCAAAGCCCGCCAGTCTGCGAGAAAACAGGCAAGAGCGGTTCACGGGCTCCTCTGGTTTATATTTACAAAACAGGTATCTCACTGTGAACGGAAAACGCTGCTGCCTTCATTCATTTTATCTTGCTGGTTTCAGTCTATTGCTCCAACCCACCCAACGTTGGAATTCATGTCCTCTCATCCAAAACACCAGCTTTCCTCCTATGTGTGTCACGTTAAA